AAAAATACAACCTCAGATGAACAACAATGCATTGCATATTACACCATGTAGCAAAAAATAAGCCAAAATGCTGAAGCAGTGTGTGAAAAACTAAGCCATGAATCAGTAGCTTATGCAATTACCATTAGCACCAAGTTTTAGCTGTTCTAGGGTCAAATGGCCTCACATTTGACCCTAGAATACTTTGGAACACAGATGAGTCCATATTTGACTCAGTGACTGCAAGGTTCCTGGGTCCCATGGCAAACTACAAGCCCAAACTATCCCCCTTCCATTACTGTGCTTGACAACTGGTGTGACGTGTTGGTGGTAATATATTGTCTTTGGCTTTTGTCAGATGTGGTGCTGGGCTGTATGGCCAAACATCTCCATTCAGAAGTCTTCAGATTATCCAGATGTAACTTTACAAACCTAAACCTTGCTGCCATGTTCTTTTCGTGAGACGAGACTTTCTCCTGGCAACCTATTTCCAAACAAACCATACATATTCAGTCTTTTTCTAATTAAACTGTCACAAACTTTAACTTTTCACATACTGACTGAGGCCTGTAGTATCTGAGATGTAGATTTTTTTTTTCTTTTCTTTTTTTCAGTTTCTTTGAGGTGAGTTTACTGCAGAGTCCACTCCTGGGAAAATTAGCAACTGTCTTAAATGTTTTTCACTAATGAATAATTTTCTCACAGTGGAATGATGAACTTAAGATTGTTTGGAAATGGCCTCATAATGCTTTCCAGATTGATTGGCAGCAGTAACGGCTTCTCTAGGATTACTGTGGATGGTTTTCCTCCTTGGTATTGTGTTAACACACACCTGAATGCTCCAGACTAAAACTGCAAAAAGTAGTTGCTATTAATGCATTTGATTAGTAACCTAATTGAGGCTATAAGTGAGGCTGTATTTAGACTTTCACACATCATTTCAACATTTTTCCTTAATTTTTGTCAAATAAATAATGGCACTATCTAATATCCCATGCATTGTTGTTCATGTGAGGTTGTATTTAAATAATTTTAAGACATGCTAAGGAACAGATGATTATTTGTTATGTCCTGATACGGAAAACGTTAGAATTGAAAGAGGGTGTGCTTTCTTTTCACCATGACTGCATATGAATGGGAGACATGTGGATATAGTTATGATTCACTGAAAGGAAACATGTGTTTTGCTGTCATCACTACTGAAAAACCACAAAAGTGTAAATTTAAATCATATAACAATACAGAAGTCAAAATGCAACAAAAGAAAATCTGTCTCTTATCAGAGATTTTGAATGGGGTACTTAAGAAAAGGACGATATCAAAGAGGAGACAATTCTGCTTTTCTTCTTCATACATTCAGCCAATCTGAGAAACTGCATTCATGTCAGATAGTTTCTGAAATACATTTTTTTTAACTCGCAACAAGAAGAAGTGCCTTTTATGGTGGGTGACAACCAATATTGTCTTTTTAACAATATCCACTATCCAATTATCACACGTAAATAATGTAAAAACAGCAGTGAATAATCAAGAAAATCGGCTTTCTAACGTTTCAAGGTATTGCAGATTTCTTCAATATCAACACTCTATCTGCCAATGTGGTTGGGCCACTGAAGCTTGAAGTGAAAATGTTTTGCAGTGTGTAGCCTTGCTAATCAATTATGGGTCGGCAACACAAACACAAAAGCATAAAATGGATCATTTAATCACATGCATGCAAGCCCCCCGTACACTGTTCTGGTCTTTTAGGACATTGATTGGTCGTTTGGACCGCGATTAGCGCGGAATGTGATGCAGACACTACATTTGGGCAAATGTAAAACAGTTTCATCATCTCAAGGATATTCAGATAGTTTAGGCTTAACCAATAATACCTCTTTATTCTTTTTCAAAGAAATATTCAGACAGTCTGTTAAAAGCTGCTCGAAGTCCTCCGTGGATAGATGTCAAAGCAATAATATATGATATTTCAACATCTTTAGTAGTAAGAAACACATCTTGCATTTAAGATTTGATGCATTTATAAATAGGTTTACTGTGTGAAAATGTTTCTTTAAAGAGAAACTTGATGGCTTCTCCCACAGGGACAGGATTGTACCATTTTTAGACTCCATTGTTTGAAAGGTTAAGATTGCAATGTGAATTGAGAATATGTGTTTTTTAAGCCCCTTTATTAACCCATTGCAGGGTAAAATGCAGGTCAGTGTGACTAAAAATATTTACCAACATTAGCAATGCAAACATTTTATGAACTCCTATTTAGCTGTCAAGAGTTCTTCCTATTTTAGAAGTGCATTCAGTCACAGCGAGGGAATTATTTCAGTCCAGTGAATCAAAACATGAATAAGGTTTTTTAGTGGTGGCAGTATTTCCACAGCGGCTGCCATATTGCATTTGTGGAGTACTTCTTTAAATAGTTTATTTATTTATTTTCAAATGCTTGTCTGGTTTTAGAGCTTGATTTTATTGTCACTCAAACAAAGAAAAACAGTTCTGTGCTCTGATTCTGGCATTCAGTAGCAATATGCTCTCATACCTTCTGTTTCGACATCACGTGTAGGCTAGGATGTAGAACAGACAGTTTTTGAAATTTCTAGTATTTGTTGATTTCAATCGCAGCTTTGAGGTCCGCTATCATTCCAACTGACACGTTTGGCTTGTTAATAGATCTGCTGATCCTCTATGGGTTTTCCAAATACTTGGTTTTGAATTCATACCCAAACCTTAATATTCAATAACTGTCTCATTTCGGTCCATTATAGGTAAGGTTTCTGAGCAGTGTCTCTCAGACAGCTTTGGCACAGCAGACCATGGTACACAAGGCTCGCATAGCCTTGGACACAAGAGGGCGCCACTCACTGCTAACAAGCCTCAGACAGACAAGGTTGGAACTCTTCCCAGACGAAGAGACACTAACACAGACGGTGAGTCTGGACTTTAATACCCCCAGCTATTACTTTTTATTTATTTTAAGTCTTTCTAGTACATTTAATGAGAATGCCCATATCGTGACGTCTGATTCGTATCCTTTGCCAAACACCCTGATCTACCATCCACTCAATAGCCCACACACCAGCCATGAAGTCCCTGCACGGCATGGGTTCCCACATGCACAGTTCGTGGGCAGCTGCTCCCTCAGACCCCTCTGAGGAGTGCATGGTGAGTGTGTCCACGCTGGAGCGGCAGCATATGGCATCCTGGAGTGGCACGACATCATCCAGCAGGGCCACCCTGAGTAGGGGTTCAAACAAGAGAGCTGGCATAGAACCCTCCCACAACGGGCATCCTTCCACAAACGGCACAGAGAAAAGGGAACACTGTGAGTGTTCATCCTCAAAAGGATCTACTGTATTTGTGTGTGTGTGTGTGTGTGTGTGCGCACATGTGTGCACATTACAAATATTGGATTGATCCTCTTGTAAAGCAAACACAAGCAAGAAAAGTTTTCATGAATTCTGATGCATTTAATAATTTTCACTCTGCAAAGATTAACATTAGACAGGTTCAGTTACATACTACATATATACTACATACACTGATCAGACACAACATTAAAACCACTTCCGTAATACCGTTTAACCTCTGAATATGACTAGTGGCATGTAAAGGTAAGGCTCCCACAGATTGGACTTTTTCCAGGACATCCTTCAGATGCTCAGTTGAGTTGAGATCTGGAAAATTTGGAGGACAGATAGAAAACTTTAACCCTAGTCTTGAATGAAATTTACGGTATGAAGGAATCATCAATCGAAGGGGACAGGAAGGGGTGTAGATAGTCTGTAAGAGTGTTTAGGGAGTTGATATATGTTAAGGGATAAACTACATGAGTGCCTTTACATAGTGTTACTGAGAAGAACATTGGCCAGAGCATCACTCTCCCAATGTATAATAGCTTCTTGTTATGCACCAGTGTCTTTCCTGCATAACAGGGAAACACACCTCACTGAAAATGTGATGTATAAGATCAGGCCACCAAGCACAGCTCCATTGTGTTTTCACCTTTCTCTCATAAGCAGCCTTAAGGCTTTCAGCAGTGGATGCTACAGGCTAGAATTCACTCTTCATGCCACCAGTTCAAACTTATCTTTTGTTGTATTTTTTGTATGTAATGATCAAAATGTAGCATCTCAGTCATGTGAGATCAACTGACAGGACTGAGATGCTCTGACCAGTAGTGTAGCCATACCATTTTGGCTATTGGCAAAGTTCCTGACACTCTTATCCTTGCCAGTTTTTCCTAAATCTAACAAACACTAAGTGTTCTCTGGAACAGTATACCACATTCAAGGGTTTGCAATATTAGCAGTGATGTTATATTCTACTAACAGTGAACCCCAAAGTTAAAAAGGCTGTTCCTATGAATGGTAAAATTCAGTTAAAAGAAACTGTAGAATCTGGTGGAAGGGGAATAATAAAATAAAGTCAGATCACCTGGGTTTTTTTTATTAAATTCCATACATAACCTAGAAAAAACAAAAACAAATACAGTTTTGGTATAGATTAAACAAAATATTTTGTCTTGTCACCTCAGACACATCCTGAGAGTGGCAGCTGTAAATCCAGATTGTGCGAGTAAAGTTTTTTATATCATCCAGACTTTACATCGTTTCCTTTGTGTCTGTCTGTCTTTCTTTCAGAGTTTATGTGAAGCATCATTCCCCGCAGTTGCTGCCTGTCCCAGGACACCTTGTTTATAAGCGCTATGAGATTTTTCTCTGCGAGTGACACTGTATGATGTTTGGAAGATGGAGAGAAGACAGAATAAAGACAAAGAAGCAAAATTGTGCAGGATAAAATGCAGAGCTGTAAATGTCATGTACAGACACAGACACCACTCTCACAGTGTTATTTTCATCCCCCTCTTCAAAAGAGTAAACAGTGCGTTATATGTCCGCTTCTATTTTCTGTCACATGGTGTACAACAATTCACACAGTGGAGATGAGGAAGAAAACACACAACTAACAAAATGACTAATGATTCAAATGAAAAAGGACTTGCATAATTTGTAAATAGATTTTTTAATGTTTTTCTCTTTCTTTTGCTTTGCTATGCAAGCCAAACCCAATGTTGTCTTTTTTTTGTGATTTATTACCGTGAGTCCTTTTTTTCATTAATGCTCAAACTGTTAGCTTGTTTTGATGAAGCTACTGTATCATTGTATTTTTGCACAGAGCATTTTGGTGAAAATAAGCACAAACCCATTGTCAGCTAAGCTGAGGAGGAGAATCATAATGGCAAAGAGGGGAATCGAGAACATAAACAAAAAGACATGTATACTTGGCTGTGCGGTATTTTTTGTTTTTTGTTTTTTTGAGAAATGGTCATCTATTGAGAATTATGAGGCAAAAAACACGGGCGAAAACTAATATGCCAAAATAACTAACTGTGTTTCATACTTCTTTTGCTGGGAAACCTATTATGCATTATACTAAAAATGTTTCTCAACAAATGGTTAATAGAAGATTTTGTATGGTAACCAAGTAACACATCAGCTGTGATATCCAAAGCAAACACAAATGGAAATATACTTCTCTGCCATTCCCAGCATTAATCTCTTAATACATATTTATATATATATCTGTTCCTTTTACAGTTACATTCAGTGACATGATGATAGTGCAATATTTAAAAATACAATATGACAGTTGACAGGAATTTGGAGCAGGTCACCTATAATGCATTGGATAGATTAATTAAAAATGTCCAATGTCACTTGTAGAGAAATAGGATGTTTTAATGACATGTGTTTATGATGTTAAACATCAAAGAAATGGTACTGTTCAAATTTGTTGTTATGAACGACAGAGCAGAATGGTTATGGATTTCCACTATCATCAACATGTATAGACTTGAATGACTGCCAAATTGAAAGATGTTTTGTAAAGTTTTAAAAAACAAATACAGCCAATTATCATTTTCTGCCAGTGAGATTGGGAATGTGATGTCTTTGCATTTGTTTGGATGGTTATGTTCTGACCGTTGTTCTGGTAATGGCTCTCCCTATGAAGAATCTTTACATGCCAGATTGGTTTGCCCTCAGGAATACACAGCCACATACAGTAGGGCCATTTTCTTTTCCAATCCTATGATGCAAAATAAAATGTGTATGTGAAAATTAACAAAGTTTGAAATATGATTTGTATTTAACAAGAAATGCCCATTTTGGATTTTTCTGAAACACTTAAGCAATTTTTACATTACAAATGGTTTTAAAAGATACTCCACAGTTACAGTTTAAACTAAAGAAATGTTATTCCATATATATATATATATATATATATATATATATATAAAGAAGACAGCCGTAGTGATCGATGTAGCAGTTCCGAATGACAGCAATATCAGGAAGAAGGAACACGAGAAGCTGGAAAAATACCAAGGGCTCAGAGAAGAGCTCGAGAGGATGTGGAGGGTGAAGGTAACGGTGGTCCCCGTGGTAATCGGAGCACTAGGTGCGGTGACTCCCAAGCTAGGTGAGTGGCTCCAGCAGATCCCGGGAATAACATCGGAGATCTCTGTCCAGAAGAGCGCAGTCCTGGGAACAGCTAAGATACTGCGCAGGACCCTCAAGCTCCCAGGCCTCTGGTAGAGGACCCGAGCTTGAAGGATAAACCGCCCGCAGGGGCGTGCTGGGTGTTTTTTTTATATATATATAAAAGCTATGGTAAATTGTTTACCCAGGGAATCTTAAAACAAACTTTAGAAACCACGCCAATTGTTCTTCAGCAATAATTCAAAAATAAGCTGCACACCAGTGCATAAATGTAAAAAAAAGATGTATTATAAACAGTGTAACATCAATGTATCTACTTTTATAGGCATACCTGTATATGTAAAAATAGTGTACCCACTTCAAACACTGGCGTGTCTTAGAAAAAACAACAAAAAAATACCTCTTTGCCTTCTTGTTAACTTTGTCTGACGCTGGTTCTTTTTCAGAGTTTCAGGCTCAACTTCCATCATCATTATCTCGGGACCCCATGACAGCTCAATGTTACATAGAGATAGCTTTTTTTGTTGTTGCTGGAGACGATCGGCATTGTGGAGAGTTGCTTCGGGCAATGTTGCAATAGGTGCTATGCACAGGGTGGGCCAGCCTGTCAGCATTAGTAACTCGGAAATGGATGGACAGGGATTAGGATAGGCTGCAGATACTGTGCAGACAAGGAGTACAATGTTCAATTGACCATTTAAACTCTATAATCCAACTGCCTAGGTTTCCAGAAGCGCCACAAGGACAGATAAATTAGCATCATGTTGACAATTTTGTCACACTTTCACTCAATTTAGCTACCTATCATTCCATCACAAGGACAACACAGCACACAGACGCAATCCCATCACCAAATGTGACTCCTCCTAATTTACCCAATTTGTACTACATGTGACTTTAATACAGGAGCAGACTCACAACTTAGCCCACAGAGCCCAATTACAAGGTCCCTGCATTTCAATACCTACACCTCAGTCTGATAAAAGCTATACATTAATATATCGGTCTAGCGGTGATGTTGCTGACTTTGTGGGTCATTATGGCTTTTGGTTCAATAAAAATTCAGTTTACTGTAACAAATTTATTGCTGAGATACATTTTCAGCTCTCAGGGGACCAATTTGGCCTGAAACGGCTTCACTTCTTCAGATATTGCTGCGAACAAATGAAAAATACTCATAATGAAGTCCCTGTTTTACTGTGGTACAAGTAGTAATAATGACAACAAAACAGCTAAAACAATTTGATTAAAAAAATGAAACAATCCACTCTGCATATTATTTGAACTCTAGTGTAGTAATAACACTATTATGAGAAAACAACACTGAACTGATTATAGAGGCTATATTTCATTTCTTAATGGAAAATCCATTTGGAAGTAATCTACTGGGTAAAAAGTTAAGTGTTCAGAGGAATCGTTGGTGGTTTGCAGGCTTGGGCACACTGTTGAATAAGTTTTATCTTTTAAGGATGTGTAGAGTATAACATTTTGTATTTATAATAAATCGTAGGGCTTGAGATGTTATAGCTCTTCCAGCTTTTGGAGGGGAATTGCTACCACAAACTATGAAGCACCTTGAGGCGACTTCTGTTGTGATTTGGCGGTTGCAGGTTGTTAGTAATTTCAGCTTGGTTTGTCACTTTAAACAGCAAAAGAGAAATATTAACAGTCTGCTATTTACACTGACAAAGTCAGCCTCACACAGTTCCTGTTAGTAGACATTTTTGTTTAAGATAATATAAACATGTAAAGCGATATTAACACATTTCAGTACAGGATATTCATATCTGTGGCGCTTTCACCCCAGAGCAGAGCCAATTTTAGACACATGAAATGTCAGAATAATCCATTTTCAGAGGAAATGTGGATAGAGTGATTAAAGAGCTTGTAAAGAGCCACTGTATAAATTGAAATGCAAAGAACATTATAAAGTCCAATATAAGCTGGTATCAGAGTGAGCTGCATTCATTATAATGCATTTTTGGTTTAGAAATAGTGTACATGACAGCTCAACTTTACATTAATTACATTAGCTGTTCAGATAGCACATGAACAGCTGTGCAATTTTTGTTTATTTTCACTTTCAAAGGAGAAAAAACAGAACTATTCGCTCGCTTTTTTTTAGATCGCAGTTCAGCATGAGCGGTGTCATTTCATGAAATTTTCCCAACATGTGGCAGACAACCTTTTCAGTCTGAGTATGTGTAACCTTGCCTCGAAAGGCTGAATTGTGACTCATGACATTTGGCTAATTGCAACATTCAAACAGTGTGGTGGTTTACATGCACCCCACCTGAGACCCCAAGTCCTGCTCTGTGGCTCCGCTACCCTGAGGGTAAGCTAAAGGCCAGTGGCCTTCAGCTCCCTCAGTGGCCAATTTATTTTCATCTTGTTCACCCTAATGGTTCATCCTTCATGTTACCACTTCACATTGTGCCACCAACATGAAGCAGTGAAGCCTCTCCTGGCAGTCTGTGATACAAGGTATCTAAGTAAATCCAAATGGATGCCAATATTGATATGTATCTTTGTCCATGCCTACTTGATCTGACTCGCGGTGTACAAGTGGCAGCCAAGATAAGTTCTGCTGTTTATTCTTGGCAACAAAATCCATCTCTAGTTACTGGAGGACCCCAAGAGAGTAAAATCTGTATTTTAGCTTCTCTTGTTAGCTTGTCTCTGTACTATTGCCAAAATAGCTTTTTTAAGAGCCTTGGCTTTATTGTGTTCTGGTGTTCTCATGGGAGTTCCTTTGAGCCAGGGCAAGCCTGACATAAGAAGGCGGTTTTACTTTCACATGTATGTGCTAAAGGGTGTTTAGCTATGTTCACCTTGAAGTTTAAGATATGCATACACTGGCAATTTACAACCTGGAAGGCAAACACGATGATAAAGAGCATACATAAATGTAATGGAAAGTATGTACTCATATGGTACATGTAGATCTTTTTCCCCATATTAATGTATTTTGGGTTAGTGCAATTAAACTTCTTTAGAACAAAATAGAAACAGATTATCATGCAGATGGGTTTTTTTTTTCAAACAACATCATGTACCAATCGTTACCATGAATTAAGACCCCCCTCAAAAAGATTAATGGCTAATAATGATGTTGGTTGAAAATATTTGTTTGTATCAAACTGATAAATTGCCACTATATTATCCATTTGCTCTTAAAATATAAATGTTAGCAAACAGCTTTCTACAAACTCTGCAAGAAACTTTCACTTTGTCAGAAAATATCACTTTATAATCTTCTTAACTAATTGCCAGTTTTAAAAATTTTGCCCTGATGCTAACTGTGATGTCACAATGAAGCTCTGGTATCACCGTGTTTGCTTAGAGTGCAGCTTTTCGACATCTTACCCCTGGCTTCTCATCTGCCACAGTAAGTTATGTCTTGGCACGGAGCGACGCATCTTCCCCTTGCGCACAGTGAAATTTTATAGTGACAGACAGTGATATAGCTCCATAAACAAATCTGAATTATCCACTGCTGCAGTGAGCTCCGCCTCACCAGCAGATTCATTATCTCTGTCGCCTCCTAATTCCTTACCAACTGCCTGCTTTAAGAGAAAGTAATCTTCCTCAAACACAACTGTAATAAATTTAAAATCATAAATTTGCAGTCTGTTACTTGCCCCTCTCCCCACTCATAACTTCTCATTTAACACCTGTGTTCTACAGCCCTTAGTCCTCAACCTTGGTACCCTCCTTGTCACCAAGATTGTCAGCGGCAATGGAAAACACTGCCTCTCAGAGCTGAGAAAAGCTGCCTATCTCTGACACCACCTGTTTATTTCACCGCCGTGAAGCTAATCGATGTATTCATCACCTCAGGGCTTCTTTCCCACAACAGTGTTTTCTGCACATCCTCAATAAACTCCATTATACTGAAAATCCTGTTGCCTGAATAACTGCACGTACGTGTTTGAGAGTTCAACCACCAATGACAACACAACAAATTAAAATTCAACCTTTGAAGTTGATAAGAGGAGAAAATTGATCATCTAACTGAGATACAGTTGCGGTTCAACTGTTAGTTCAGAAGCGACATTTTTATTTGCAGCACAGCACTCAGCCATACTGCCTCTATAGATCTGTCCTCTTATAAAGAGTTGTTCAGAGTTGACAGCCATCAGTTTCATTTTTTTTCTGTCAGCCTCCATGCAATTTTGCCACATTTGCCCTAGCTGTCATGGCTGCCTCTTTGTCAACAGATTGCAGAGAATCTGCTGGATAAACAGAGCAAAATTGAAAATGAAACTTGGCAGCTCACACACATACATGCACAGGCACACACGCATGCACATCCAGTATCTTAGAAACCAAGGCAAACACTTGAATAACCCACTGTAGAGAGTTGTCCTTGGGGGGGAAAAAATGAAAGCAGTCATTCATGGTGCTGAGAAATAATTTTTAGAGAAGGAAGCAGAATTACTCAGAGAACTTAATCGTGTCCTGAATTCAATGTAGTTACAATCAAAGTACTGAAATTATTAATGGAAAGGTTCTTTATTGCATGAATGACTTGATAAAATTATGTAAGTGTGTTCATTTAAATAGGGCCTGTTTGTTTAGAAATGGTTATATAATCATGATCTTAGAGGTGAAG